CGGGAAACCGGATAAATCACTTATCCGGCACTTCGAGCCGAATAACTACCGCTACCTACAAGGTAGCTAATAATATTTTCCCAATATAATAGTTATTCGGCACGAAGTGCCGAATAACTATTAAATATAAGTGTATATAATTCTATTTGAGCTGACAAAGCATCAAATTTCGTATTTAACAACTATTACTGCAAGCACTATTGACCAAGTTCTTGATAGTATAGCTTGGACTCGCGCCCGTGTAAATCGACTTATCTTTATAGATTTAAAGCTTGGTATTGATATACAAAGAATTTAAATAAACTTAATTGTCGTGAAACTTTTGATTTGATATGCTGGGTACTTTGACAATTAAAAGCATTTACTTTTATGTCAAAATAAGAAAAGATTATGTTGATTTACTGTATATACGGAATATATAAAGCTCGGAATTACGACTTTCTATTCATGTCATACATAACACTCTTAAATGTAATAATTGAATTTTTAGGATTTTTAGACCGATTTTTTTTTTTTGTTTCATAATTTACTTGACCTCAATCCATAGATTCTCAATTGGAATTCGTGCTAGCCATTTTTGGCTTAGCAATCTTTGAATTGGCAAATATTATCTTCTTGCAATCAGCATATTTATCATTACTAACCGAAATAAGTTGTAATTTTACATAATAATTTATTTGATTAATTGATATAACTGATTGAACAAATTGTTATACATTGTTCCACACCAAAATTTAAGCAGAATTCCAACGAAGCCTACAAATCGTAGAACCGACCAAACGAAAATGATCAATTAAATAAGTTTTATACTAGATCCACTATTATAATCTAAAAAAATTCTAATAATAAAATAAAAACCAGACAAATTAAAAACCAATAAAATTAAAAATAACAAACAAGCTTTTTTGCAAAAAATCAAAAATCAAAAATAAAGGTTAAAATATCTAAGCTAAAAATAAACCTTATTGTATCTAAATATTAAAAGGAATTTGGATTTGCGCACCATGCATACTATGCATCCCATGCATATCGTTTTTATAAATTAGACTTTTTATTAGACTTTTTAGTTCTCATGAGACACGAATGTGATATCTATAGTATTTATTAAGCTTTTCTGCGGCGTTATATACATTTTGTTTCCTCTTTTCTCTTCTCTAAACTATTTTATACAATAAAAAATGAATAATACAGATTTTTATCTAGTAACGATCCTGATACTGAATATTTTCCCGAAGACCTAATTGACAATATTCCATTGGATAGTGACTACAGTGAAGAAGACTATCCAAAAATTCAGAAAACAATTTCTGATTCAATTTCTTTGACTTTGGTATTGGAAGTTGGCGTAACATTTTTTATTTAGAAATCTGCTTTTGACTACATTAAACAATGGTTACTCCAACAAGTTTTTTTTATTCGAATAGGAATATCAGAAAAGTTGCAAGTGAACGCAACAATTTATATGTAGTTGTCAAGGAATACATACTAATAAACGAGGCAAATCAAACCAGACCTTCGAAATTTCAAAGAATTATTGCAAATGGCATATTAACCTTTTTTGCCCAGTGAAAATAATCCATATAAAACTATTTTCATTACTACGCTAATTAATGAGCATTTTGGATCCTACTTTATGTCAGATAAGGCCTTTACAAAGCCTATATTAACTGATATTGAATAGAATGAATGGTCGTCTTAAGCCATTGTCTATTAAACAAATGTTAAAGCTAATAAAAAAGATCTACAACCAAAATCTTTATAAAGTCAATTACAAATATCGTCAATCTAATCCTCAATGAAATGATATATTGAAAAACTTAAAAGAAGATGCTCAATGGATAATTTCTAAAGATCATACATTAACCACAAATCTTTTAGAGAAGTCCTAATCAATTGGAAACTTGGACCTGTTATTATGATGGAATTCTCAATGATAATAGTGTTACATTAATTATAATTCCGCCCAGAAAAACCATGATTTCGTATGTAAATTTTTTCGATATTTTCAGTTAGTCCTTTGAAGGTCGTTTTGGAAGGTGCCAGGTTGGTAGGATGACAGGTTGTCATAATAATTATTTTTTTATAAATACAAGCTAGAAATCCTTAAATAGCTCAAACTTACCAAGCTCCCTCATTCATGTATTTGCATAAATACGCCTGAAAATACCTTCCTTTATCCCTTCGCAATATTTTCGCTTTCGCCGTTTTGACATTATAATTTTTAATCTGTAACTTCGTTCATATTTAACTTCCGAATTTCTTATTATTTATTACTCAATTTTTATTATTGCTTGGTTTTAATTAAATAGAGTTCTATTGATTGGCATTTATTTAGTTTTAAATATTGATATTGCGAAAATATAGAACGCCGACGTTGAGGCAACACTGATTAATTTGATATTATTAAATAAATTTAGCGTCAACATTACTTTATTTTTACTCAATAAAAACATACTGCCTATATTTAAAATTATATAAACGAAAGAACAATATGAAATATCTCTATCTATTTTTGTAGCAGTTGATAATAATATGAAGTCTTGAATTTTAGCATAAGCATTAATAGATCGAGATACAAAAGATGCTTTATGTGAATTCTTCAATGTATATTGGATGCTACAGGAGTTTCTCTATAACAGTTGCTGATCCTGAAATGGTCTGATTAAAATATCCTTCAACATTGTATTTGGCATATTAGTCAAAACCTCCCTTTACGCCTAAAATCAAAGCTTGTTGGATCATTTGAACAATATAAAAAGGATTTTTATGAATGCCATAATAGTTTATATCAGACAACATTAAAGATGGCTAACATTATGTGATAAATAAATATCTTAATGCTATTAATTATCTTTTTAAAGCTTCTTGAGCTCATGCATTTAGAAATAATATTTTTAGTACAAACAACATCTCGCTGAAAATCTGTTAATGACGACTTTTATATAATTCAAATACTACATTTATTGATATATTTCTTAACAGTTGAATAACGATTGAAAGAAGAACACTCAGTCTAAAACTCTTATTTCAAATACCTTTGCAAATATAAATGATGAACTTAAAGAATTTACAACTCCACAAATTCAGAAAGTACATTATAATGAAATGGAGATGACTTTCGAATATGATGTAAATTCATTAGATAAATCTTATATTAATAATGAAAATTTACAGGTTAGCATTAAAAACATCATATCAATTTAATATATAAAATACTTGATTGTCATGATTTTATTGAAAAACAAGAAATTCGGTAAAATTACATTTCAACAACTTTAAATGTCATGTGATCAAACATCCATTAAAAGTCTTTGAGGCGTTAGTTATATTTTTAATTAATTTATTTAAATTTTTACCTCATGCACAGAATTTTAAATTTCAAAACTTTATATGTAATTTGTGCACCCTACTTTACATTGATTCGGTTGTGTAATCATCATTTCATTATGCTGACTAATAAATTATTTTAACCATTCGAACATCTCACCATGACTATTATGGTCAACAGCAAATAGAGTTACCTGTCATGCAAGTCCCTATACATTCTCATGTTTAGTTTTCTTCTTTGCTATATAACGTAAACAGTGGTAATAGTTGTAAGAATGGTTAAAGTATTTAAAGTAAATATTATGCCCAAAAAATTTTGCATAGCTTGGTTTATAAAACAACAAGTCTCTGTAACTATATACTTGTCATTTTGACCATCAATATACCACTACGAAGGTATTATTGAATTTGAAACCCAGCAATAGTTGAAGCTATCATTACTCAGAAATAGTAGCAACAAATAATACCACAAGATATATTTGATAAGCTAGATGTAGAAGGTGTTAAAGAAGCAATAAGTTATTATAATAACTGTCAGTCTGCTATAAGTCCTACTAGATCTTATTTTAAGATTTTAGTATATACCCTTAAAGAAGTAGATAAGATAATAGGTCTTTAAAAACAATTTGTTTGAAAGGATATGCCTTGTATATATAAATATATTACGTCTACTAAAAAAGGTCAAATATAATATTGAATACTAGAAAATAGCTGATAGATAATTCTTATTAAATAGGAGTTACAATGTTTAGATTCAGAGATACCACTAAACTGTTTAAATAGATTAAAGGTAACAATAGTCCTAGAGGTAAAAGTTTCTGCTTAATATTCATATCTGAACTAATTCTAAAAATTCTTAAACTATTGGAAAGAGTATTGAATAGAGAGGATGAATAACATCAATCACAAGTATAATCTTAGTTAAGAGGTTTGTCTGTATAATATCTAATTATATGTTCTGATGTAATTCTCTCAAGTTTATTAAAATTTATACATTTTACTAGTCCTTTAGTGATTCATTATATATATCTTTAATAAAGATTTTTCTGCAAAAATTATCACTTATTAAGCCTAAACAATATGTCATTAGAATAACAAAGCTTATTTACTAATAGGATGTTTAAGTTGTAAACTGTGAAAGAAATAAATACGAATTTATTTAAGTTGAAGGGTCAGATCATTTTTATTAATAATTTATGTTTTAAGGAAATAAATATTGGTAAAGATATAATTTTTATGTTATTATGATTATACTTTATTAATTATATAATAAAAACTTATTAATTTGTCAAGGTGACAATATAGGATATTTATATAAAATATAATTATAAGATAGAGATAATAAATATAACTAAGAAAATAAATATAACTAAGAAAATAAATATAATTAAGATAATAAATATAGTAAAGAAATAATAATAAATGTTATAATAAATATAATAAATATCATAATGATAACTGTAATAATTATAATAGTAGTGAAAATGATGATAATGATTTTCCTAGTGATAATTGGTGACCTTAATTAGTGTAATTATTTATTAATAAAAATGGATTATCACTAATATTGATAGAATCATTTTACTGATAAATGTTTTACTAACAATTATTTATTAAAATATCATTTTATTAACTTAATCATTTTATCGACAATTTATTTATTTTTTTTATTAAATTCTACATTATAAATTAATCATATATAGAAAATAAAATAAATAAAACTTTACATTTAAAAGTTTATAGTAATAAAAAAATGGAATTTTCTAATTTAATGGTTAGATGTTATTTATATTATTTTACAATATTATATGTTAATTTAAATGGGCAATTAATAAATAAATAAAATATTTCAGAATAAATAATCAAATTTATTGAAATATAAATTATAGCATTTATAGTAATTTTTTAATTTACAAAATATTTATCAGTGAAATGAACATATCAGCGAAATAATTGTATTGGTAAAATAATTGTTAGTGAAACGTTTATCGGTAAAATGATTTTATCTGTAAAAGTTTATCAGTAAAATAATAGTCAGTAAATCATTTATCAGTAAAATGAATACAGTCTATTATTTACTAATTGAATAATATTGAGTAATAATAAAAAACTAAATTAATATCTATATAAATTCTAATATAATTACTAGAGGTTGAAACTGATTTATTTTTATAAATCAGTTTTAGTTACTTTTTAATTTAAGATCTAAATTTAAATTAAATTTAAATAAAACTAATTAAACTAAATATTCAATTATAATAAATCAAAAATTAAATTTCATTATTATTCAAAGCATAATGAAGAATTTATGTATATTCAAGATCGTATAATATTTGTCACTATGTAAAATGCCTTATTATATTTTAAGATTAGATATAACAATTAATATTTTGCATGATCAAGTAATAATAATAAAAAAATAATATTATATTAAATATTTTTATTTTTTTTGATATTCATCTTTATTTATTCTAATTAAATATAATAAAATAAATTAATCATTAATAAAATAACTAATAATAATTTACAAATACTTTTTAAAATAATAAGATGAATTAATAGGTTTTAATAGTTATATATTTAACTAATATATTTTAGTTTCATTATATTTGAATTTTTATAATCAAATAATTTTATTAAACCCAGTTTTTAAATCTAAAAAAATCAGATACATTTTATATTACAATTAGTTTAAACTGATTTAACTTAAATTATATTAAACTAGTTCTATTTAATTAATTTAAAATCTTTTATAATAGATGATCCTATTTATAAAACTCTTAAATTTAAATATAGATATGTAGTTCTCTTAGATCTTTAGTTAATATTTTATTTTCTAATAATTATAAGAAAAAGTTTATATTTTACTAGAATCTTCTTAAAACCTAATTATTAATATTCCTTTATTTAGATAAATTATAAATAAAATCTTATGTGCTGATCAATTTATCTATTAACACTATATTTGTTTAACTAATACTATTAATTTAGTTAATTTTTACTAAACTACTTTATGAAAACTTTGTTTTCTTATTATACAATAATTGCATAATACTTATTAGACTATGATTAAGCTACTATTAAGTAAGATAGTAACTATATATATACTATATAGTCACTTTGCAATTATTACATATTATAAAAACCAAGTTTCTATAAAGTAAATATATCTTATTCATCTCAAATGTTTGTTTTGACTTTTGCTATTTAAAAGAATAGAATTTTTAATATAAAAGTAGTTTTGTATAATAAAGAATCAATGAGATAATCTTTTATAAAAGTTTTAAGATTGCTTATATTGTTTTTTTTATCTCTTAAATTAGATAACAGCTGATAAATCCTTTATCTTCTAATATCATTAACTTATTGATTATACCTTTACCTTACATTTTACATCTCATCTACAATTCTTTATAACAAATCAATTATTATATATATCAATAGCTTGCTACTAAGGTTACTTATCAAAACTTATTTTGAATTGACAAAATATTTAAACTTTAGTTTTACTAATTTTTATTAAAGTTTTGATATAATTTACATTTTAGAGCTTTAATATAATTTTACCTTTTTTAGAGTTTTGCTAAATTTATTTTTACCATTTAAATAGCTTGTAAATTCTCTAAGTTTTATTTAGCAATTTTTAATCATTATATTTATTATAGACAAATTTATATTTAATAAATTTTGGCTAGATTTGCATTAACAAATTAAATAATTATTATTAATGTAATGCTTATTGGTAAATTAGTCTTTATTGAAAAATACACTTTTTTTACTGCATTTATAGTCTCATTCAAGTCTATTACTATTTATATTTATTCAGATAGCTAAGATACAATATGTAGATTCAATAAATATGTTTTATATGATAATCTTTTTTCTTGTAAAAAAGAAAAAGTTCTTAATTTCATACTTTAAAATCTAATCACTTATATTAAATATACATTAAACTTTACTGCTCAATTTCACAAAATAAAAGCTCATACTGGTAATAAATTAAATAAAATTTCTTACTTTATAATTATTAAATATAATACACTATTTCTTATTTTCATTAAATAGCCTATTATTAGTTGATCTTAGTTACCATTATAATAGAAGATGATAAATATAAATCTAAGCAAATTAAAATAGCTCTTAAACTCAGATGTGATAATTTTTAAATAATCAATTTAAAATGTTTGACTTTATTCTAAATAGATAAACATAAACAATTGTGCTTAATAGATATCTTGCTTATATTTACCTTTAATAATATTTCTCTTAAAATATCGATATACGGTTTTTAAAATTTTTTTTCTCAATATAGATATCTAACATGTTTTTAAACTTCAACAGAAATTATTTTCTTAGAAATTTTACATGCAACTTATTTAAATATTAGAATTATGTAAGTTATAATATTTTTGTAATAACTTTTGAGAATGTTTTGTTTATTCAGTATAAATGCAAAATATAATTTAATTTATAAAAATATTTTATTAAAGCATCTTGACAAAGTAACTTCATCTAGATTCGCTTCTTATCTTTTTAACCATCTTAATTTGTTTGATGATATCTTTACTATATTCTTATCTTAATTTATTAGATATATTAATATAATTCATTCACTCATTTTTTATTGCTAGTTAAACTTATTTATAAAGTAATTTAATAAATTAATTTATCGATCAAGTGTTGCCTCAATTTCGACGCTCTACACTTCTGAAATTACGTTTATTAAATTAATAGATGTAATGCTAATTAATTAAAATTACGAATAAAAAAAAAAATAAAAATACAAAAATAATATAAAGGATTTTGGAATAAAATTATGAAATAAAAATCAATGATGGTGCGTGAATGAAGAAAATGGAATTTCATTGTGTGAATATGAACTCCAAGAAATATCCATTATATTTATAATAAATTTAACAAGGACAATTTGGCCAGGCAATGTTTTGAGGTGAAAAATAAAATACTTTTTTTCGAGTAAGGTTTGAAGACTAATGCTCGCTGTTATTGAAATCAAAGTTATTATATGAAAGATTGATATTTTCTATGTCCTATTACACCTTCATTTTTGTGAGCTTCAACCCTATCGGGCGGTCATAATTTTAGATGCGAAAATCCAACAAAAAATGTAGGTGACTTCCATATTATCTTTGATGAGATAGAAATTGTTCCATGTGTATTAGAGATTGCAAACCAATTTTTTCATGTACTGGCACTTCAAGTTGACAATCGACTCGGAACTGTATATGATGCAGTTTTACACCATTATTGAAAGCCGCCATCTAGCCAAATAGGATACCGTATCTTGGTTCTTTTCGACGAAAGTTGCTTTTACTTTTATCGAGAATGAAAATATTAACAGGTGATGAAATTATTCCTACTTTTCATAATGATTATTATAAGGGTATTAAAAATACTTCGGAATTATCAAAAATATTATGATGTGATGCTTCAAAATAAGTTCTTTGAATGTATTTAAGTTGCTTCGAATAAATCTTATAACGGTTAATTTGCGACGATATCATAATAGGACGTACGTAATTATCTTTTTATCAGCTGGCGGAAAACTGGCGTCGAACCAGAGCCTGAATTACGATGACTTTGCGAATAAGAAATGAATAGAGGGTAATATTAAATTCTTTAAATTTCAAAGTCACCCCTAAATAATTAATTAATTAAGTCTCCGTATATTTATAAACTTTCATGTTTTGCTGGAAGTTCTGTCTATTAAATTTATTCATCATTTACTTAAATCAGTAATTATGCAATCTTCTAAATAATTTTAATTGAAATAAAAGAATGTATTATTAGGTGAAAAAAATAAATGAAATAAATAAAATGAACATAATTAAACATAAAATTACCTAAACTTCTTATTGTCATATTATCGGAATAATTCTCATTAATAATTTCATTTAATTTTGCAGAATAATCAATTTTTCTGCTTGTATAACTGGACAATGGATGATATTCAATAACAAGATCATTTTCTATAATAATAAAAAAAAAATTTATTATTGATATTTATAGTTAATCAACTTATGTAAACTAGACTAGTTACCTGGCACGGAAATTCTTCTTGAGTTATAACTATACTTGGGATTGGATTGCCACTTATTGAAGTATTCTTCCAGTACTTCAACTGTTGGTCTGTTATTGGGTTCAGGATCCCAACATCTTTTCATTAAATCCGCATATTCAGACATAGTACCTTCACTAATATTCGGCCTTAGTCCTCGGCAAATATCTAAAGAAAGATTAAAATCATGAGGAATGTGATGATATGCGGGCATACCAGAAGTCATTTCCCACATTATAATTCCAAAGGAATATATATCACTAGCTTTCGTGTAAGGATTTCCACGCAAAACTTCAGGTGCAATATAAGGAAGCACTCCGTAAATTTCATTTGATTTACCAGCTGGCTTGCTTAATCCAAAATCAGCAAGGTACATCTCATATTGATTTGATAAAAGCAAATTACCACCATGTAAATCACCATGAACCAAATTACATTTATGTAGAACCATAAGTGATCTTGATATAAAATACAAATTATTATATTTATCATTTGGATTATACTTTTTAATCATTAAATTAGATCTTAAATTTCCAAAATTCATCGTTTGTATTACCATTATATAATTTGACATAACCGGATCTTTAGTTATTCCAAACAATTTAATTGCCACATTTTCTCTATGATTTTGAGCCGTATATATAAATTCTAAATAGTTTTGCCACTAGAATAAATAAAAAGTATTAATTAGATAATTATGATATTATTTTTGAATCTGAATCATCATCATTTACCTCATTCAAAAATTTTCCATCAAAATTCAAAGGGTCTTTCAGACTTTTCAATATGACCCGTAATCCAATTTTTTCATTTTCTTTAAGGGGTGATTTAGTATGTTTATTCTTTGCTTCGAGGTAATCTATATCATCAACTGAATAAAAGTATCTTTCCCACTGACTATTTTTAGCACCCCAACACATAATGTGTCCATTGATCCAAACGGCCTTATATACGGTACTGAAACCACCTTGAACAAGGTATTGTATATTTCTCAAATGGTCATAAGGAATCCATTCGATTAATTCGTCACTATTTCTTGCCCTTAATTGTGCATCTTGAATAAATTTATCAATACGCTTGTTTCCACTAGTCCATTTATTAAAATCTTTCTGAAATCTTTTGGAATTGCAATTACGACACCATATATAATAAGTTTTTGGTTGATTGCAATCTGAACACAATCCAAATTTTTGCTCCCGTATTTGTTTTTCATATTCTCTTGAATTGTTTTCAGACATTGAAGTTTCAATATATTTTTATTTTATTAAGAGTGCCGGACCGGATTACGCCAAAAACATGAACCTTTTTCAAATTGACTTTTTTTGACTTTTTTTTTTAATATTATTTTATTGTTATAAAAAATAAGAGAAAAAGTCAAAAAAAAGTCAATTCTTTTGTACCCCAAATACGTCGAAATGCGCAATTGGGATTTCCCAAATGCGAAGATCGTTTTGGATATTCGCTTGCCCCAAATGCGCATTTTGAATATTCCAAAAGACCAATCGGATTCATTTCGGACTGACCTAAATGACCACTAATGATTTGAGTTTATTAAATGACAACCTTGTATTTTATATTTTATTTAAAATAAATTAATGGCAAATTTAAATTATTTAAATTATTTAATATTTATAGTTATAAATCTTTATTTTTATTTAAATTGTAAATAAAAATGTAAATAAACTTTACATTAGTATTTTGGATATCCAAAATGTACATTTGGGATATTATCCGAAACGTGCATTTGGGATATTGTGGGGCAAGCGAATATCCCAAACGATCTTCGCATTTGGAATATCCCAAATTCGCATTTCGAACATTAACTAATTTGGGGTACAACAACTCCATAAACGACGTAAGTAACTGCACATTAAATTGCTGTATATATCGATGTTACACGATATTAAATTTTGGGACACAACATTAACACGTGAAGTTTAATTTCCTCATTTGTGAAATAATTAAAAAAAAATTTAATTTTAGTGTAACCAGAATTAACGTTCTGAGGGCGGAATCCGCAGAAAATATTGATTTAAAATAAAATTATACGGTATTGATAACGTGTTTTAAATTATTTAAGTGTTCTTTTTATTCTTTTTACAAAACTCTTGGTTTTAAACGCTTTCAACAATCATAGTGTGATATATCCTTATAGCAAAAAAATTCCAGATGTGGAAAGATCGGTTGATGGAAAAAACTCAGATGTAGTATCTAATTAAATTTGTCAAGTAGTTACGGAAAGACAAAAATATGAGGGTATAAGGAATTAAATTTTCATATGAGATTAGTCGATAAATTATTATAAGAATAGGTACACGTCAGGTCATTCTTTTTATACACAACATCATCCTTTTATTCAATATATGAACCTTTCTTTTTTTTTGTTCTTAGTTTTTAATTAACATCAAGATCGCCGACGTTGAGGCAACATTTGATAATTGAATTTATTAAATAAATTTTACATCATAATTCACATTCCTGCTTAATTTTCCTTTGTTTATAATATAAACGTAAAGAACTGATTATAATTGCCATGAAATATTGTATAGATGGTGATGATGGAGGCGTAAATGAAATGTTATCAACCCAAATTTTCGGGTTTTATTTTTTTAACCAAGTGCACGTGGCATGAGAGTCATTGAACTGTTCGAACTTAATATTAGTAGTATTAGCGAATTATGCGGTAGATTTGCTATTGTTACATTGAATATAATTTCGCCGATATATTCATAATTCCGCATGAAAATTGCTTTCGATATTTGCAGTTAGTCTTTTGCCAGATTACATAGATTGAATTGGACCGAAAAGATGTTGCGTCTTAACAAGCGTTAAAAACCCGTTTTTGCTTGAATCTTACTTCTTCCCACTTCTCACAGACCGGAAATTTCAACACAGAAGGTATATTTCTATTTATTTCTTTTTTTTGTATTTTTTTTTTATTTACTTTTCAAGTATAAAACAAACATTTTTCTATATTATACAATATAAAATGACTGTTTTCCTGAATATTTCCGAGTTCTTATCTTTGGTGCACCACCAAAAATAAAGAGGAGTATTAGGAGTTTTTGCCTATGGCCAAATAACCCGGTTTCCAGTCTATCCAGCTTTAATTTCCTGTGAAAAAATCTTTTATAGTGAGTAATGAACCAGTGGTCTTTGAAGCTTTGCTAGAGATCTTTTTACCGAGTTATTTTGGGATTTAGGGCTACATTTTATATTGCCTGCTCTGTTTTTGGTTTTCCTCGGTATTAGGGGATTTCCTCCCTTATCTATACTGATAATCATTAACGTCATAATATTTTGCCTGTGGTATTTTTTTTTTGATTGTGTTATATGATGTGGATGTTCTTAGTCATTGATTGACGTGTTCTGATAATCTATTAAAAAAAAAACTTTTTTTAACCCGAACAAGGCTTGCCCCCTCTGCGCGGTATCCGAGAGAAACAGTTATAGGTTAGTATATATCTGGCTAAGCGCAAGAATATTAGCATATTGTGATTTTAAATAAATTAACAAGAATGTTCTTTGTATATTTTTACCATTGATGTAAAAGAAGATTTATAATTATGTAATTATTTAATAACAAAGTTACGATACACTCCCCGCTAATAATATAAAAATAACTCGTTACATTTAATCATTCTGTTTATTTTGTAATCCAAGTTAACTAAGATTATGCATTAAAATCAAACTTAATTTTGTTTTTAAAAAAATAAATTAATAAATTATTTTCATTTTATTTCGACGACGAGCCAATTTTTATGTATATTTTTGTGCGATTTTAATGAATTTTTCATTCGAATTTCGGCCAATAAATACTACAGAAGATCCTTTAAAGTGGTGCGATGCAAACAAAAGCAGCTTTATATTTTATCTCATCAAATATTTATTTATTTCTCAACTTCTGTACCTAGCAAAAGATTGTTTTCAAACGCAGAAAATTATATTTAGTAAACGTAAATTATATTATTTTTAAAGAAAAATAGTAATCATTTAATTTTTTTTTTTCTCAAGTTATGTAATTTTTATCTATCATTTAAACATGTAATTAGCTTAATATTTTTTCTTTAAACAAAAATCAAAGAAAAATTATTTTATTAATATTATATTGCATTTATAAAATTTTTCGCAATTCGGTTTTTTCAGAGTTATTATTACAATCGAATGCCCGGTTTATTCGAATTCGGTTTAAATCCGGGTCTTAAATTAAAAATTGTTTAAAATCCGGTTTGTGAAAATAAAACCGGTTCCAACATCTATCTACTTTCAGGGTTATATAGTACGGGTTTTCAACATTTTTTTTTTTTTAATTTCCGGAATCGCTTCAGGTGCAACGATTGATTGATTTCTTTATTTTTGTTTCGGAAGTTGTCCTTTTTTGGGTGGTTCGCTGCCAAAAGTTTTAAACAGCGAAGGTCGCAGTGGTTTTTGGATATGCCTCAGGCCTCCCTAGTTTAATTAAATTAAATGCTATTTGGCGATGCGAAATTTAATAATTAAATAATATGATATTATTACAAATTCCAAAAATAGTAATATATATTATTTTACATAATTTTATTGAAAATAAAAATTATTGTAGATTACTCTTGTGAGTCAATAATTACATTAAAATACAGCCATACTTCACCTTTCTGCTTTTTTAAATTAAATTTGACTTTTTATTTTAAAAACAAAAAAAAATAATAATGTAACGCGACAAAATTAAAAATGATCGGCAACAATAATATTATTTGCACATTTCATTATATGTTAAATGATAACCTTGCGCAGAATCTTATTACGAAGTATTACGCCACAATATCCATTTATATCAGACGATAATTGACAATGCCATTGGATAGTGACTACAGTGATGAAGAAGACTATCCAAAAATTCAGAAAACAATTTCTGATTCAAGTTCTTTACCTTTGGTATTGGAAGTTGGTGTAACATTTTTTACTTAGAAGTCTGCTTTGACTACATTAAACAATGGTCACTCCAACGTTTTTTTTATTCAAATAGGAAAGATCAGAAAAATTTGCAAGTGAACGTAACAAATGTATATTGGATGCTACAAGAGTTTCTCTAAAAGCTTTCATAATAGTTGCCGATCCTGAAATGGACCTTCAACATTGTATTTGGCATATTAGTCAAAACCTCACTTTTACGCCTAAAATCAAAGCTTGGTGGATCATTTGAACAATTTAAAAAGGATTTTTATGAATGCCGTAATAGTTTATATCAGTAATGCGATTCCAAGATCATATGGAGTGCTTTCTTCGGCAAAAAAGTTAGAACTAGATGATAGGATTTCTAAGCATTCTAATACAGATTACATTGAAGAGGGTTTCATCCTAGTAGTTAGAATTTTTTATTATTTCACTGGCATTAGCATAGAAACTTCATCATGTATCACAGGCTATGTACTGATCCCTTATACTGTATTTTGTGTGTTTCATCACGCTAAATAATAATAAAATTTTATTTTTTTTTCACATTATGTGAGTCCCGCCTATTCACTTTGTTCATTGTCAGTTAAAATTATCAGAAGTCATGCGAATATCAGGTAAACTTATCGCCCTTAAGATCTTTGGTTGAGGGTGAATTTATTCTCGAACTTTCCTGCAGATACAAGGTTTTTTTTTACATATAAAAAGACCCTTGTTGATATTACACATGGGTAGCATCAATGTTATTTATTATATTTTTAAGCGGATCCGCTGATCAGATTTTCGTGATCGATCATATTAACATAATTCTCTCCAAAAACGTATTCAAATTCCAAAATTATCCTGAAAATTACATAAAAAGGTGAGCCTTGGTTAGTGAATCCTTTTATTGCTTTGTGCAAATAATGCAAAGTGAAATCAAATGAAATATTCAAACTTACCAATATTAACATTATCGATATTAACAACCAAACGAACTCGTGTGTTTCGCAAAAGTAATAATAAGGTAAGATGGTTTATTGCTCAGCTTGATTCTAGATTCACACCATCACGATGCTAATCGATTTTCCCGTCTTTATAGATGTTACAAAATAAAATAGATTACTCTTAGTCAAGAAAATTGTGATTGTCAACACGTGTCTGATCAGCTCGGGCATTTGAAAAAATATTTTAGCGGACAGGAATTGTGAATATGTAGTAAATTTAACGCGCATGTGACTAATATTTCAGCATATTAAACATCGTGATTTATTTGTCTATGAGCCTGTGGCGTATTATGGATTGTCCGATACGTTGTGCAACAATTGACTTCTAATATAAACCTCCTCTTTCCTGAATTGCACATTGTGATATGTTATTTAGCATGTCGGAAGAAACATTAGCACATGTTTGCTTGAAGAGGGATTAGATGGTCCCGCTCTTCTTATGTTGAACGAGAAAAGCTTAAAGAATGTGATTTTAAAGTAGGAAATCGCAAATTTGATTGTGAAACTTAACGGGGTAAATATACGACTGCATTCTAATCTCCCAAGCATTTATTTTTCTTTGTCTTAATCTGTGTCTTACCACCATCATCATCAGCGTCGTTACCTTAAGATGAGTTATATTAACACTGAAATAGTCGTTGAAACACTTCATAAATCAATTTCAACTGAAAGAATCTCGAATACACTACCTTCACTTTCAAACACCAAGTCAAACAACCATTGCATTCAGATATAATATTGAAAGGATCATCAATAAAAAAGGTCGATTATCTTAAATGATATTAATTAAAATAACTCACATTAGGGATCCTCCGTTCGGTAAGGATTTGCAAATATATTATTTATTAGTAAATAGTAAAATTACGGAGTGTATTGTATGTCTTCATTCTTCACTTCTGGTAGAACTTTAGAACTGTTACAACACTAAATGGCCAAGCATCAACGAGTTTTCAGATCCTAAGCAATGTCAGAAAAGATCGTGTGCATCATTCATTTAAAAAAGAGATCGGGGTTTACAAAAGTTGTTTGTAGAGGAACATCCCGCTCAGCTACGTCTTACACAACTAAAGGGTTAACTAAAGGTAATATATTAATGTTTCGGTAATGTATCGAATAAGAAAAAACAGCCTGAGGACTAAATAACTAGTGTTTGTTGGCGAGCGGGCTATGTGTTTGGGCGGGAAGTTCTCGTTCATAAGTCAAGAACATAAAGTTGGGCTACTTCCATCGGGATATTGTGTCTAGTTATAATTTAGTGCAGAATAGACCAGTATGCTCGAGAACGAAACGCGTTTTCGTGGATTGAGAAGCGTTTTCATATAACTAAAATATAACATTCCAGGCTCTTTGAGAGTCGCTTTGACGATTATCTAGCTGTTTTACATAGGTAAATTAATCTACAATCTTGATCTATCCTAGATGTCAGAAAGCAAGTATTATAAAGAAGGAAACTAGAAAACAAATAGCCAATGCAACCAAACTGCTTATAAAGAAGCGACTATGAAGAAAGAAACTAGAAATTGTTGAGCATAGAATATTTTCTTATCGACTTATTTTTAGTTGTTATATGATAAGCATTTCTCTTGCAATATATTCCAGGATTTCGTAAATGTCAATGGATATCGCCGGATAAACAAATTGGTTAAACGTAAGTTATTGGTTGATAATTCCAATCTTAGTGGAAAAATAGATGGGTTAAAAAAGCTAGAAAGTAAAAAAGAAGTTGTTGGTAACAATAAGGAATTGTCAATTTTCCTAATATTAGCGATTTTTTTTAATTTGATCTTACGTAGAAATTTATGTATAAATTTCATTTTACAATTAAAATGACTGATTCATTTGCAGTTTTTTCTAACTTTTAATATTCGCAATTTTTTTTTTTGTTTAATGTCCATTTTTTTTTTTAATTAATTATCTTAATTTTGAAATTTTTTAAATTTTTTAAATACCGCGAATTTTTTTAAAAAAATTTTTTTTTATAATTACGCGTTCTCTAATATTTTTTAATTATTATAATTTGCATATATACAGTATATCACTATTTTTTTTAATTAAATTATTTTATTTTTATTTTTACGGGATTTAATTTATTTAGGGTGTCTCTCTCAAGCACCTAACTTAATGGATCGATCGATTAATCGAAAATCAAAAAATCGAATCTTAGAGTCTAATTTTGAGAAATGATAATTGTGATTAAAATCAATTCTCAAATCAATTCTAAATATCAAATTCGATTCCAATCCCTAATTATAAGTTGACTTAAAAAAGTTGTTTGATATTATGCATACTCTAAAATATCGAATTTATTGATTTGTAGTGCTTTCCGAATCTTTTAATTCTGCATGTTATGCAGTGATAGCAAATGACCTGGTCATTTGGCTAAGACCCTAAGTAACGTTAAAATTGTCATTTAGAATTCGGTAATGACTCATGAAAAAAATAACCTATATCATTAGGCCAGGGTTCATCAGAAATGTTGATTATACATAATTAATAAAACATTATCTTTTTTTAAACTTTTATTTTGACAAAAACTAAATTGATTTGAACTAATTTTATCTTGAATTATTTCAAGCAGTTCAATGGGAAAAGAACATACATTTCGGGAGTCTTTTTTATCTGACTTCACCGGATAATCCAAGAACAGGTTACAAATAAATTATTAAAACTAGGAAATGGTACCATTGTAAGTCCCGAGCTCAATAATCGCAAAAGGAATTATTTTATTCATCACGTGAGCGGACAGAGAAACACACGTGACCGGAAATTTTCACATTGCGTAAACTTATATTGTCCTTTCGCTTCGTTCAGGACAAGTAATGAATCAGGACATCGTGAGCGGAAATCTTGAAATAAATCTGATCAATATAAAATTTTGATTTTCGTTAGAAAAATATAGTATAAAAATTAAAAACAAAATTATATTATAAAATTTTAAATTATACATTATTAAAGAGTAATTTTTTAATTATGATCCTTTCATAAAAGTATTTGTACAAACATCTGTAGGTATAATATAAAATTGTTTACCAAAAAGACAAAAACCAACAATTAACTAATGAACATTATTTATATTTGATATTTTATTAAATATAAGTGTAGACTTTCTATAAGGACTCCAGTCTTGTTTAAATGAGTATTATAATTAACCTTGTAATAGTCGTTCATAAATTTATTTTAACATTTCACTTGAACTTACATAACAAACTGTCTAATCACGCAGAAATATTTCACGAGAGATAAACTAAAATATAAGACCACAATTACCACAATTCAAATAATGTGCCACTATCCATCAAAATATTCGTACGATCAAAATACTGCATGTATATTATGTATACTTTTTAAAAACATATTGCAAATCTCTCTCCTCTTTCTTCCAAATCATTAGTTTTCCGTTAAAATACCATACCTTAAAACGCAACAATATTATTTTACAAATATTATTAATGGAAGTTTTCCGCAATAGCATAAAACTTAAATGAAAGAGGTATGTTTCATATTCATGCTTATACCTAATGGGTTAAGTATTAATTAAAACGAGATACGAACTGCGTGTAAATCAGGAACATGCATATCACGTTATATAAAATCAGACGATCCAGAATTTAAAAGCTTTGGGCAAAACGTTCGGCAAAATTTACAAATCAATAAATTTTAGATTTTAGATTAGTAAAATATACCTCTAAACAGTAAATCATGGTTAGACATTATACATAAGTTCGATGAAATAATTAATTAAGTAAATTACATAATAAATTAATAAACGTGCGATGATAATTATTTTTGAAAACAATCAAAAAAATTATTTGTATCTAATTAGAACAAAAATTTTTCCGACTTATATTATCACCATTGGTTATTTTTATTAATTACCAATGATTTCTAAAGTGCTGTCCCTCGCATCCGTTTCACATACATACTACGGAAAGATCTACATATCTTGACAATATGTATTACTATTACATTCTGTTATCGTTATACAAGATAATTTGAAATAAATTTTTTATTTTTTTTTAAAAAAAAAACTTATTTTTTATTATAAATTATAACAATGTCTAATAGTAATTATAAAGGTAATAAAGTAACTAAAAATATTTTTACTAAACAATAAAAAGGAATAAAAGATGTGTTAATTTGACGGTTTGATAATATATTTTTTTTTTTCATGAATTTACATTAGAGCCAGTTTCGGATGCTAAAAAACTTTCTCATTAAAAGGTAATACATGTCGTTAATTATACTCATTTTTGTTTGCTAAAACTTAAATTTTATCAAATTCGAATATTTAATCTGTCTCAATTAATAAAGGTAAATACAATAGAACTATAATTAATCAACAAATATGATAAACTATTAATTATACTCAATAATTATTCAATATTAGAAAGATTAAATGGTAAAGAATATTTATAAATTGTCTAAATATTAGATTTTTCTATAAACTATATTTATTAATTTCATTATATTAGAACCAATTTCAGATATTTCTACATTTAAAGAATTATATGGTAATAAACTTTATTTATCTATTATTTACTTATAAAATTATTTAATAACTAATTTTTTTTTTAAAAAAAAAAATCAACTATAATAAATATTTAGATTATAAACCATTTAATTTTTTATTATATTTTAATCTATACAATTTAAATTTATTATT